TGCAATTTACTCGTCTGGCAACAGATTGAACAGTGATAGGGTGCTTCATAGAGAGGAAATGGGCATATTTAGTGAAACTGTCAACAACCACCAGTATAAGGTTTTTGTTTTCAAACATTGGCAGACCTTCCACAAAGTCCATGCTTATGTGGCACCAGGCAAAGTCAGGAATTGGCAAGGGCTGTAAAAGGCCAGAATATGTGGTATTTTCAGATTTATTGAGCTGGCAAACAGGGCATGCTTTAACATATGCAATCACATCTTGTTGCAGACCAGACCAGTGACATAGCAAGTGTATTCTCTGGTAAGTTGCTCTTTCTCCAGAGTGTCCTCCAAGTTCAGACTTATGGAATGTCTAGATTAAATCCTGTCTGAGGGAAGTGTTGTTGCCAATCACAATTTCGTTCTTAAATCTGAGGATGCCATGTTGGAATGTGTAATTAGGATGAGCATGGGGATCAAGTGCCAGCTCAGTAATGATGGCCTTGTACTTGGGGTCCATGGAATAAGATTTGACAACTTCAGTGATCCACAAGGGAACAATAGAACTAGCAGCTAAAGAGCTCAAGCAGTGTCTCACTCTAGAGAGTGCATCAGCTGCTCTATTTTCTCTTCCCTTGTACTCAATTGTGTAGTTGTAGCCCAGGAGTTTGACCAGTAACTTGTGTTGGATGCCTTGTGTAAGTTTCTGCTCATGGATTTATTTGAGACTCTGTTGGTCTGTTCTGATGATCAGGGAAGAGCTGGCAAAATAATGTTTCCATTCTTTTAAAGCTTCCATAATTGCCATAGTTTCCTTGTCATAAGTGCTCATGGTCTGGGCTTTAGGGACAAGAGATTTGCTCATATAAGCAATGGGCCTTCCTTCCTACATGAGGACAGCACCTAAACCATAGCCACTAGCATCTGGTTCCAAGATGAAAGGCTTGGAAAAGTTAGGGAGGGCCAAGACAGGGGCATCTATTAGTCTAAATTTAAGGTCCTGGAATGCTTGTTCTTGAGTGGTAGACCAGTGAAAGTTGCCCTTTTTTAGAGCATCAAAGAGACGCCTGCCCACAACTCCATAACCCTGTATAAACCTCCTGTAGTAGCCTGCAAGCCCTAAAAATCCCCTTTGTTCAGTGATGTTGGTAGGAGCAGGCCAGTTAGTGACGGCCTCAATCTTAGCAGGGTCTGTTGCTACACCTTCAGCAGTGATGATGTGGCCCAGGTATTCCACACTAGTTTGTCCAAAAGTGCACTTGGCTAAGTTAGGGCATGTACAATGGTGCTATCTTAGGAGTGACACGTAGGATAAATGATGAGGTGGAGGAAAGAGAACTCGTAAGAAAAGACTTGTCTTCTCTTATTTAAGATAAGACAAGAGATGATCTCTTAGCACAAGTTGTCTCACCATGTTTTAAGGAATTGCTAGTTATTGAAGATAAGGCTAAGATATAACCCATTGTAGACATACTTTTTGTCATCTCTAAATTACATGCAAAACTTAAGATAAGACTATCTTATCAACCATTATACATGCCCTTACAGAGAGATGGTTTTCTCTCAGCACTCTGAATACTTCTCTGAGGTGCTCTTTATGCCCTTCCAAAGTTTCACTAAAAATCAGAATAACATCAAAGAACACAACCACAAATTTTCTGTGATACTTGGCAAATAAATAGTTCATGAGGGATTGGAAAGTGGCAGGTGCATTTGTCAACTCAAAGGGCGTGACAATATACTCATAGTGGCCCATGTGAGTGGAGAAAGCTGTTTTCTCAATGTCCTCAGGCTTCATTCTAATTTGGTGATACCCACTCTTGAGATCTATTTTGGAAAAATATTTTGCCCCATGCAGTTCATCTAGGAGATCTTCAATGACAGGAATAGGATATTTATTCTTGATTGTCATAGCATTCAGCTTCCTGTAGTCATTGCGAAGTCTTCAAGTCGCATCCTTCTTTTTGACTAATATAGCAGGAGATGAATAAGGACTGGAACTGTGTTGGATGATGTGTCTCAGCATCATGTTGTTGATAATTTCTTCCAGGGCATCTTTTTGGTGGTGTGGAAGTCTGTTAGCTCTTTGGTTGATGATTTTAGCATATGGGGTCAGGGGAATGGCATGATCGCAGGATCTAGCAGGAGGTAGTGTTGTTGGCTCTGGAAATTTAAATGTTTAGGAAGAACAAGAAAGAAAGACTGAAGGAGACTTGTTTGAAAAGGAAAGCTGCAGTGATGGACAATGAAGAGGACAGTGATGATGATGATCTGATAGAATATGGTGATATCATAGCTAAGCTTGTGGAGATAAGAAGACAGAGGAATGACCCAGAACTTCATTTTGAAGGGGACACAGATGTTGACAAAATGTGTGACTTAGAGGTGGATGATGAGTTGTATGTGCCACAAGGTGAAGAAGAGGATGTAGAGGAGGAAGAGGAGGAGGAATTGGAGGAAGAGAAACAAGAGGATGAGCTAGGGCAAGATGTACGAAAGAAGAAAACGGCCAAGAGACAACGAAAAGGCCCAACAAGCAATTCACATGGGAGTATAGAACACATGTTTGAGGAGGACTGGATTCCATCATCTGATGACGACAAGAAACCACAAGACCTTGGTGTGGAAGATGATGACTGTGCTGAGGCATTGGCATATGTGTTGCCCAATGGTAGAAAAAGCAGAGCAAAGAAGATGAAGAAGAGGATATGGTTTGATGAGGACAAAGCTCATCCAGAGGAGCAATTTGTGAAGCATCTTTGCTTCATAAATGTGTACCAGTTAACCCTGCACATTGCTCAAAACAGAAACTTTGTCTACCATAGAAACTGTAGTGATAGGGTGATAGCACATTGCATAGATGAGCAATGCCCCTTGTATATAGCAGCTTCTCAGATTGCAAATGAGAAGTCATTTACAATTAAGAAGCAGTATTTGGTGCACACATGCCCTTCTATGTCAGAGAACACTAAATGCTAAGTGGGTTTCAAAATTCTGTGAGGAGGCTATCAGAAATGACCCATGCACAACTGTATGGGTGTCTGGCAGCCAGCTCGGCTGGATTTTCCTTGGTGGTGGGATCAGGCACTACAGTGGTCACCAGGCCATGGACTTTAGGTGCGGTTGATGCTGCCTTGTCCAGGTGAAATCCCCGCATCTTTGTGGACTGGTAGGTTTTCAGGAGTGCCTGGAGGGCCTTCAGTCAGTAGGCGTTTGCCCAGATTCGGTTGGTTTGAGAAGAAACCATCCAAACTCGACTAAACTTTGGAAAAACTGCTTTGCAAAACAGCAAAATTTTGATTGACCGAGTGGGTGAACTCGATGAATTCTTGGCGATCTGCAGCTCGCTGTTGTTGGAGTGTTTGCACATCTAACTGGAGGGACTTGAGCTCGAGGAGATCCGTGTCCGCGGAGTTAGAGTTGAGAGCCATGATTCTGTCAGGGTTTATGAAAGCAGGAAGCTTTCACACCGAACAGAATAAAGAACACAAACAGGGAGGGCGAGGGAGGGATTTTACAACCACAAGTGGCAACCGGACCTGCGCTTCCTGTTTCTTCCACCGCCGAACACCGCCGCCTGCGCCCACCGCCAACAGTGCACTGGAGAGGATGGGTGGGTGGGATTTTACCGCTGCAGAGAAGTTCTGAAGCAACCACTACCCAAGCCAGGCCTGCACTCGAGCAATCTACCGCCGCCTGTGCCACCCGTTGCCGTGCCGCCACCGGGATCTGGGAACGGAGCAAGCTCCTAAACTCCCCCAAATCCACTACGCCGCCGAGAACCATATGCTCTGATTACCAATTATTAAGATCTAACTAACTGACGAACACAAACACATGGAATTTCAGAGGAATTCTTGCTTGATTTCAGAGGAAACTCGCTAGGCTTCTTACAAGAAGAGGAAAGTAGGCCAACCACTCCAGTGGCGGCTAGGGTTACAACCCAGTTTACATTTGATGCCTCTCCCGATGGGATCTGAGGTCTTTATAAAGAGGAAAAGTTCACTGAAGGTAAAAGCAGCCCGACAGCGACATGAACAGGTACAGCAAGTGCGCATGCTACAGTTATTTGATCATAGCCAGCAGATGGAGATCGGACGTTGCTCAGACGACGGCTTAAGTGACTCTGCGTACCGCTTTATGACTACACTCCAGCCACGCGATGAGGATCTGAAGGTCTACGGCTGTTGTCGGACAATGAACAGGTACATGAGATTCAGAGAGCATAGGAGGGCCTGACATGCATCTGAAATACAGGATTCGCAAGTGACATACACAATATATCTTAAGGCTATGGATGAACCTGGGACCCATCAACAGAGAATCTGCCGCCTGCAGCCTGTAGCTTTCTCCAAATGCTGCTCCTCTCTTGATCTTCGCACGTATCATGTAGTAGTTTCAAGTATGAGTACTAGATCTTTGTTTGTATATGCCTTTATTTCTCCATATCATATTTTTTGCTTTTAGAAGATTACCAATTTTAAGTTGTATTGTACCCTTCATACGGAGTCTTGGCACAGTGGTAAAGCTGCTGCCTTGTGACCATGAGGTGACCATGAGGTCATGGGTTCAAGTCCTGGAAACAGCCTCTTGCAGAAATGTAGGGAAAGGCTGCGTACAATAGACCCAAAGTGGTCGGACCCTTGGCCGGACCCTGCGCAAGCGGGAGCTACATGCACTAGGCTGCCATTTATTGTACCCTTCATACATATTTAATGTGCTTCTGCACATACTAATTACCAGTATATTCTAGAGCTGGAAGTATGGGACGAGCCCTATGAGGTTTAATCTGTCTCTTCTATAGCTTTTAAGGAAATGGCTTTTGTCCATTTATAAAGAAGAATTGCTGTAGCCAAATGTTGGTCGACTACAAGTGCAAAATCCGGTGTTGTAACCTTCCTGAAGGCACCGCCTTGGAGCCCACGGTTCGTCGTATGCGGCTTCATCTCTTCGCGGTGGCGTGTTCGCGGTTGAAGCCCCCGGTTGCTCTTGTAGTGCTAGGGGTAGTGTTGTTGCGCTCAGCGCCTATGTATCCTGCCTTGGGTGTGTGCGTGTGTTGTGCTGGCATGCGTTTGTACCGGGTTGTTGTTGATCGTTGCTTTATATATAATAAAGCAGGGCAAAAGCCTTTTTTCGTAAATAAACTTAAACATACCTGCTATCAAGCTACCCAAAGGTCCATCTGGTATTTCCAATCTTGCCCCTTCGTTCGCAACAGAGTAAACAACCTAAAATTACACAACACTTTGTGTGAGTTGATTTACATCTGGTGACGAGGTGCAAGGGATGTACAAAGTATGTTGGTTACCTGAACTGGCGGCTTTCCTGCCCAGGGCCTACTCAGAGTGCAAAGCTCCCACATGATAACTCCGAGGCTAAAGATATCACACTTTTCTGTAAATGGTTCGTTACGAATAAGCTCAGGAGCCATCCACTCTGGAGTGCCTGCAGATGAGTTGTCACTCATTGCAGAATTCGACAATAACCGAGAGAGCCCAAAATCACATAACTTGACTGTCCAGTGCTTGTTAACAAGGCAATTCGCACTCTTTAGATCACGATGAACTATCTTCAAACGGTGCATACACATAAGACCCCTTGTACAAACAAATAATCAGATGAAGATTTTACACAACTAAAAGGAGATGTATCAGGTACTCCAGAAAATCAAATGCTAGCGATAAACAAGTGTATCTGCTCACCTACAGATATCACGGAGCATTTTTAGCCTCCTTCGCCAACTGATCTTACTTTTCTGGCCACTTGTGTGAATCAAATAGTACAAGGAACCCATTTCCATATATTCAGTGACTAGGGATAAGTGAGGAGGCTTCATACATGCACCAAGGAACAATATGACTGCAGTCCAGCACAACATAATCATTGTCAGAAGACCTTGAATTACATCAGGTCTTGCATGAATAGAAAATAACACTTTCAAACAGTCAGACCAGTAAGATCAGCACAGAAAATGAAACCAAAACTGCAAACAAACAAATTGAAACTGCTATATAGTGATTGTACAGGAAATACCATTGGGATGTCGGAGACGGCTGAAAATAAGAAAAAGGAAATAATAAGAGAACAGAACTGCTAGAATAACAGAAATTGCAGCAAAGCTATATGAAAACCTAAGTATGGAGATCTCATTGCAGAAATCTTCCATATTCTCCATTGTTAAATCTTGCTCCAGAAATACTTTTATAGCTACATCTGTTCCATTCCAGATGCCACGGAAAACTTCCCCAAAAAAACCTAAAAGGATAAACATGAGCATTAGCTTTAAATAATAGAAACGTCTCTAGAGAAATTCAGTTTCAAGAACATCTATTACATTCAAAACATCCCGTTTGTCTAGCAAGTTCATAAAAATTACTCGAATATAGCCCGATGGTTGAGACATAGTACTTGCCTATTCCAACACGAGTGCCAACAGCAATCTCTGAGAACCCAATATGCCATTCTTCAAAAGGCAATAATGGCTTGTTCAGAAATGGTGAAGATTGCAATGCTTTATTCCAAGTGGACATCAGATCTTCTGCTGTAAGGAAGTCAGCTGGCTCTCTAAGATTAGAACCATGGTTACCTAACCGATGCGGTGATGAAGGTAATGACAATGCCTTCTGAGTAATAATGTGCCTTCTTGAACCCTCCTGAACATTTGGTTCTCTTACTGACACCTCATCATCGTTGAGGTCACCTACTGATTCCTCCTATATATAACAAGGAACCAATTGCAATTGTCAACCACCAAACTTAGTAATTTAGAGCCACTCCGACAAACTATCAAGTGTATTTACTGAGTAAAAAGAGAACATTTTCTTGAAAAGAAGCAGATTGTGCTGAGATCACTGAAATTTTAGTAAAAGATATGTCAACAATTAAAAGAACAAAAGCATACTTTTCTCTGTGAATCATTTGAATGTCCTGGACTACCATCATTATGTGCCCTTGAATGGCGATTTTTCCTCATGCTTTCACTCATTTCTTTAACTGCCCTGAAGACAAGCAAAACAATATACTATGTCAACCCAGAGATCAAAAATCTGAAAAGATGAAGTTGCGTAGAAATCCTTAAATTTGCAAGAGTGCAAATAAGTTCAGGAACTTCAAAACTACACAGCACAAGCAAACCCTACTAAAAAGTTGGCTAACAAAGGTTTGGTGTGGTCATATTGGCAAAGTAATACACTAGACATAGCATGAACAAAGGAAGCATAGGCGTGCCTAAAATTTGGCAATCATCCATTGAGAACCAAATTGTTGCTCATGGTCAAAAGACGGTATTGTGGATTTGGGCACGAACCAAATATATCAACCTAAAACTAGACTTTTATCAGTCATTCAAATAGGTCCAACTGTTGCTTTGCATGCCTGACTAAGAATCTACACACCAACCATGTCATTCTCCTCCTCTTTTTCCCTCTTCCTCTCCTAACTGGTCTTCTCTGCCTTAGATGTTTTTATTAGTTGCATACACTTTTCATGTATTATCCCGCTGTGTAAGCATCACCCAAGGGCTGATAAAGCTGACAAAGGTGACCCACATCTTGAAGACCGTAGAGAAACCCACAGCCTCAGAATAAAACTGAGGCAAGACACCAGCACAGAGGACAGCCACAGACCATGCATCATCATCAAACCACTAAGTATAGTATAGGCGTCAGCTCGTCATGATAAGAGTAGAGCAACATCTTGAAGGCCGTAGAGAAACCCACAACATCAGAATAAAACTGAGGCACGACACCAGCACAGAGGACAGCCACAGACCGTGCATCATCATCAAACCACTAAGTATAGTGTAGGCGTCAGCTCATCATGATAAGAGTAGAGCCACCTGGTAGTCAGACACCTTCTAATCATAGGCAGCAACTGTAGCATCATCAGCAACATTGGAAGCCTCACAGCTGCTGGATCAGCACCCGGGACAAGAACCGGTGGTGAAGACTCCACATAGGCAACATTGGCACAGCGGACAAGGGATCTTGCTACAGAGGACGCCCCAAAGACAAAGACCACAAATGTGAATACACATGTCGGTGACAAAGTCGGTGTAACACCGTCAAACATCACCAGGGAGCCTGTGCCAGTCCTGACATATTGGGCGCCCGGGGCAAAGACAATAAGGCGGGCCTTTTTTACAAGAACTCTTAATATATTTTCCATTTGTATGGTTGTCGTGAACATTAAAAAGCATAATATAACAAACAAAAATTAATAATAGGTAAACCCTGTACTCAGAGTTTTCACAATCTCTCTCCTCCTTCAAAGTAAGAGCCATAATTTTTAAAATATAGACTCAAGCAGCGGAGGGGACGTGGAGCACTCGGGTCTGCAACCCTCTGAAATCTGCACGTCCATTATTGTCTTGGGATGAATACAGTTAATGCAGTTTACTTTTCCCTCCAACCAATACGAGAAATATACAACATAGTAAGAACAATGAATCACATTTATTTCGGCCCCACAACTCTGTCATGTCCCATGCGAGGAAGCTCAGGCTGAGATGGGTTGGAGTAAAAGTTCGTGGCCATCAAGTGGGAACAGGTCAAGGGACGTCGACCACGCGCAAAGCTCAGGTCAAGGACGCAGGCCACAAGCATGAAGCCCGCGACCTCGATGCAGTACCGCTGGCTGCAGGCACGGTTGCTGAGGCGGAGCACGTCCATGCCGAGCTCGACGTCAATGGGGACAACCGAGACGTGGATGACGTACAAGCATCTGGTGGCTGCAGGAATGAAGGCCATGGTGCCGGCGACCTGGAAAGACGCGGTGCCATGCCGAGCTCGACGGCGACCATTGGAGTAGTACCGCTGGCAGCAGGAACGAAGGCCATGGTGCTGGCGACCTGGGAAGACGCGGTGTCGCTGGCCGCTGTCACGCAGGACACGACAAGCTAGAACGGCGATTGCATTTCTCGCTGGTCGCGGGACTTGGTGTCAGTGGCTAGGGCGGACATCGTGTCATTGGCTGTGTCCGCACGGGACGCAGCAAGCTCGGACGGCTACCTCGTTCTTCCTCAACATTGCTCCCCGTCGGCGACATAGTCTTCCTTGTTCCTCCTAGCTTTTTTTCCCACATCGCCGAAGGAGAAGACCAGGAGTGAAAAGAGGAAACAGAAAAGTGGAGAGAAGAACATGAGCAGTGTCAGTTGATGGTAGGGGAGAATGGGCGTCCAGGGGAAGATGGCTTTGTGAAGAGAAGGTGCGGCGTGGGTGCATTGATTAGGTTTTTGGGCGCTGGTGGTTGAGGTCTGTGCTCACTGACAACGTCAGTCCGAAAAGGATATCGAATACAAGCCTATATTATGTGACATACATGGTTCATAATCTCCTAATACAGACTGTCTAATATAATGGTGTGAATCCTGAGGCACATGAATGGGGCAGATCCGGTGGGTGTGGTCGCTGTGTGCTCCAATGCAATTTCACTCAAGTAGCAAGCTATTATCTCTTATTCATATCACAATATTGTGGATATTGCGATTATTTCTCGATGCTATTACATTTACTTTCCCAATATCTCTTATTTCTCATTTTGACCAAACATGCATCAAAGAAAAAAGGTGAGTTACACACAAGACACAAACTACTATTGGAGAAGTAAATATGTCGTATGTGGGCCCATGTTCCAGTCTGGCCCAAAAGGCCTAAGCCCATTCACTAACCTAGAAGAGGAGACGTTGTCTCATCATGGGCGCCACTTCACACGAGATCGAGCAGCCACCAGGTGCTTTCCTCTCTCAACTAAATGGTATTGGAGAGCGAGGTTGAGGGAGGAAGGCGACGGCGGTAGAGTCGCCCTCGAGGCGGCGAGGTCCGGTGGGGAAATCGGCAGCGAGCTGCGTGGTGGAGACAAGCGGCTGCCTGCGAGCTGCGCACGCGCATGAGGCGGAGGTGCTGCTGCTGGGTGAGCGAGTGGGACCGGGAGAAGCGGCTGAGCTGAGGAAGAGGGGCGGTGAAGTTGGCTGCTGGTGCCTCAGTTGCTGATTCTGCTGCTGCTGAGCTTGGTGCTGCTGCGCAGGTAGGAGAAGAGGTGGTGCTGGAGGCGGAGAGGATCCACGCGAGCCACCGGACGTCCGATGCCTGACTGTGCGCAGCCACTCAGGTTTACACCCATGTATCCCCCTCTCTCTCCCTAGACTATATATACCCCTTCACTTGGACGAACTAGGGTCAGCAAAGGATTAGCTCAGATTTGAGATAGAGCTTTGCTCATCCACTACCCTCTCCCATGGAGATCAAGGCCTCCATGTAAGAAGATCCCCTAGTGGATCAAGACCCCTTCTAGGGAAGATCCTCTTGGATATCAAGCCCTCAATTCCTCTAAGGATTGGGGTGAACTAGTTCCTCTTTACCTTCTTGTGTTGGATTTGGACCTTTGTATCCCTCTTTGTGTGTATATGGATTTAGCACATGTGTGATTGGATCTTTGTCAATTGAGTGTTCATCTTGTGTTCTTCTCTTGATTTGCTTCTTTCCCCGCCTCCAAGTGTGAAAACATCATGAACTAGGGTTTTGCCCTACATCATCTTGATATCAGAGCAAGGTTGATTCACACCTTAAGAGTACTTCTCTCTATTTTCTAGCCCCAATTTTGTGTGTTTTTGCCCAATTTCGAAAATCCCCACAAAAATAGCCCCACCAAAACTTTTGTGATTTGTTGGTTATGATGTTGTTTTGTTGATTTTGATCCATGGATTCGAAGTGTTGCAGGTGGATCTAGCTTTCCCCACCTTCTCCTCCCTTTTCAAATTGTTATGGCGCTGCTAGAAGGAGGGCGCGAGAGTGCCGGCCGGGGGCCTTTTGCCCAAGGCCGGGCAAGATGGAAGGGATTTCCTTCTTAATTCTTGCTTGATTAGATTGATACATCTCCTCTCTTTATATAGAGAGGTTTACTTGAGTCCCAAGCAAGGCTTACTTGACCCCTAAGCAAGCGACCCTTATCTCTAATTAACCCTAGGACTAACGGGCTATACCGCCAGCCTAGGCCATTAGGCCCATTACGTACTCTAACAATATGAGTATTTTAAAAAACATTTGATATGTACTGCGGGTTTAATGTCAGAAAACATTAGGGGGTTTTCTATAAAATAGCAAAACGGACTAAGAATACTAATTTCTTTTATTAGTAGGTATAGAGATACCCCTTCACTTGGACAAACTAGGGTCAACAAAGGATTAGCTCAGATTTGAGATAGAGCTTTGCTCATTCACTACCCTCTCCCATGGAGATCAAGGCCTCCATGTGAGAAGATCCCCTAGTGGATTCAAGACCCCTTCTAGGGAAGATCCTCTTGGATATCAAGCCCTCAATTCCTCTAATGATTGGGATGAACTAGTTCCTCTTAAACTTCTTGTGTTGGATTTGGACCTTTGTATCCCTCGTGTGTATGTGGATTTAGCACATGAGTGATTCGATCTTTGTCAACTGAATGTTCATCTTGTGTTCTTCTCTTGATTTGATCCTTTCCTCACCTCCAAGTGTGAAAAGATCATGAACTAGGGTTTTTCCCTACATCAGCAGGTGTTGTGGGAGATTCTCAAACGGCGGCGGCAACTACAACCGAACGTAGTAGGGCAGTTGCGTAATGAGACCTTGCTGGCTCACGACGTATCCAGCAATGGCAAGATGGGAGAGATGTATACCGTAGTATATAGTTTGATGGCTCGAAGGCGGAGTTGCGGACAACGGACTTGAGGAAACCAGTGGAGCGGCGTACAATGCGGTGGATTGCCTGGTAAATCAACGTGAACTTTGCACACTGTTTAGGATAAACATTCATCGATTGTGGTTGCGATCCAACAACTAGCCCAGCTTGACCCCACATCATTCCTGGCCCTCAATCTAGGTCGATCGACCCCGACCCCAGCTCAGGGAATGGACCTTCGACCCCCAAACTAGGCTACTGTGGGGAAACTAGAGTGATAGGTGTTTCAAGAAAAGTCAAGAAGGAAATATCCTCCACGGAGGCCAAAGGAGAGGATCGACGTAGATAAAGGATGGGACTCATCGAAAGACACATCCCGAGAAATCTACATCCGACAACCAATAGAATCCCAACACCGGGAGCCCTTGTGCTCATCACTGTAACCTAGATGACAAAGTCAACAGTCAGTTTGTTGCATTCACGAGGTGCCAAAAGGAAATAGCAAACACAACCGAACAACCGAAGTGCAAAGTAGTCAGTAGAACGACCAACAAAGACACTCAAGGGAAGTGCCACCCTGCAAACCAAAGGAAGTCTGAATTCGGACGATAGGTTGATCTGGAAGCAACCTCACCCCAAAAGTGAAGGGAAGAGAAGTGACAATTATCCACATGAGCCGTCTCAAGAAGGTGACGATGCTTGCGCTAAGCAACACCATTGTAGGTGTGAGCACCAGGACAAGAGAACTAAGCAAAAGTGCCTTGCTCAGTAAGGAAGTACTCCCTCTGTCCCTCTATAAGGTGTATTTGTTTTTTCAAAAGTCAAACGAGTACAAGTTTGACCAAGTTTTCAGAAAAATATATCAATATTCACAATATGAAATTTATATCATTTGATCGATCATGAAAGGTAGTTTCATATTTTATCTATTAGGTATTGCAGGTGTTTCTATTTTGTTCTATAATCTTGGTCAAACTTTCAAATGGTTGACTTGCACGGAAACAATACACCATATATTCTGGAACGGAGGGAGTAACACAACAAACGAGATATACTCACCAGCTGAATCGACACGAGAACACAACTAGGGGCATGGATCCAGGAGGGAACTGCGCACTAGATGACCCTAGAGAAGTCAATCCACAAGGAGGTGATGTATTCTCTCTAATATTTGGCCGCTTAACATGCATGATGGGTTGTGCAGTAGGTTTTGGTGAGCAAGGCAATGATGGTCCAACAACAGTTTATGGTGGCAACCCAGAAGAAGAATTTCACTTCCGAGTCAATTGAGTCATGGATGGTCGCCTTGTAGCACAAACAAGGCGTGAAAATCCCGAACTCCGTCCAGCACCAAATGAGAGCTCATCAGAAAGATTTGTGCGGCTACTATCTGCCACAGTACGAACTGCGAAAGGTCCGACTACGAAATGCCTCCGAAAACTATTGAGAGAAAATACACCAAGATAATTACTTGAAATATAAAGTGGTTACATGCCTAGTTGGAACTAAAAGACGCTAGGAGAGTAATTCATGAAAATTCAAACCACACAGCTTCACTGCACGCACAAGGTAGGAAAGAGTAATGGCAGGAATGGAGCATAAGGTCGAATGTGTACTATACACGACATGGCCATCAATAAAGTGAACCCGAGTAATCATGTACCTAGTTTGCTTCCTTTTCTCATATTTTATTGTTGTCCAAAAATGAAAAAAATATAATACTGCCTATTTAGAAGTTAACCAAGTATTTTAGTCAATTTGATCATTTGAGGAAAATATAAATATCAAGGTTATCACTAAACTTGGCGCAAATCTTCTTATTTAGCAAGTGAAGTCCTTTTTACAAACCTCGCAAAGTCATCACCAATTTCAGGGGATGTACTCATACTTTTTGGACGTCCTCTCCGCGCACTTGACGTTGATGCACCATCTGACCTAACATCAAGTAAGACACAATTAATTAGGCCAAAGAGAAGATAATACTGCAGCATTAGCAACAATGTTAACTGCAATATTGTTAATCACTAATAGCTTGTAAATATGAGCTGGCTTCCAAAGTTAAGTACAGATTAACAAAGCATAGAATATATATATAGGGAAAATCCATCCTACCACCCAGTGGTAGTTACCCCACATATGTCATATACTACCATATGGTATTATATATACTACTTTATCATTATAAATATGTTCATATATTATATATAAGATATTTCAAAGTGAATTACATGAAAAAATTGTAAGTTGACCCAAGATTTTTATTATATTTGTGAAATACGTATACATTTGTACGTAAAAAAGAGCATACTCAAAATACGATGCATACTACCTAAAAAGTAGTATATATACTACCTAAACATTCTTATATACTACATACTACACGTACATACTCTCCGATTTGATAGATACTACATACAACATACAAAACTGAAGTGGTGGTAACTACCACTGCTTGTAGATAAAATTTGTCATATATATAATCTTTTATGCCCTAAAGCACGACCCCAATGAACCAAGTACAACTTGATTGCACGCACAACCTTAACATGCTGAAAAAAATCCAGGAACTTATTCTCAAAATAAGAAGGGAGGAAGTCCAAGAAACCAGTCAGCACCAATTCCCACTATTAAACCCAAAAATACAAGGCAATATGCCGATTGAAAGTCAATCGTAAAGGTTAAACAAAGAATCAATTAGAGAAGTCAGATCCACCCAGTTAGCAGTGAGAACCAGCTTTGGGAGGAAGCATGGATCAAACAGAACTACTGTACGCTGAAGGCGCTCGGCGTCACCCTTGATGACACCTGGCGGGGTTGTAGCAGGAGATGTGGCGACCACCGACGATCTCAAGGATAACGATACCGGCGACAGAGATGGGTGGAAAATAAGGATTATTTTCCTCTTAAATATGGTGCCAATGTAATTAAAAAACAACAAGTGACGCTCAAGGAGCTGTTTGCCGAGTTTTGAAACTATAAAATAAAACAAAAACATGACACTCGAGAATTCTTTGGTTCTATTTATCATATTCAAATAACTTGGCCTATTTGAACAATAAAAAATGTTGCTACCTTCATTGTTCAGGCATTTCCTTTAAATCATGGCAATGAGCTATTTAACTATCTTCTTATTTGATGATTAAGACTTAACAAATTAATAAAATAGAAACTTACTGAGGTACCTTGATACAGCTACACCATCTCCGTACTGTCTGTCACCCAAGTTTGAGCGCCCATGTGCTCTGGACAATGGATGGTCTGGACTACAGGAACAAATAAATACATTTTAATCTAAATCCATTCTGAATCTTTAAAGCAGTTACAGATTCTATATATAGCAGAGAAGAATTGATATAAATAATATAGGACAGGAAGATAAAGCAAGCAGAAACAAAACCCTCAAAGAGATATAAATATGGGACAATTAACTCAAATTAGCCATTTCCAGATTGCTGCTTTTCATCTAAAAGCTGACCACAACAAAGGCTGATTTTTAAGCAACTAATATGTCAGAGGCAGGGCAGTATGATGCGGTTGGGGCCATGCGGAGCTCACCATCAGAGTGAGAGGATAATGGTGCTGAGTTAGTTACATGTAGCGTTAACTCAGTTTCACGCCATGATATGCCATGCCGTGTCATGTTATTGCTTTATCCTGAGGGGTCAGACTACACCAAGTCTCAAAGTGGAGGGATCAATATGTTGGGCGACGTCATCCTCCTCCATGTCCGCAGCTGTACCGGCTCGATCGATTCCTGCGCATAGTTCGTCATCGCGCACGAAGCCCACGCCTACACATAGATAGGCGTGTTGTACACACCTTATCATGTCATTGCTCCATGGCTAGTATATATAGCGTCATGTACAGTGTATGTAATCATCATGTGAGTAATACAACATTCTTCTTGGTAATCAGACCGAGAAGCTGACACTACCACGGCCCTCAGCCCTAGCTCCTCGTCGACCTCTGTTGCTACCGATCCTTCAGGATCTCAAGTAGCTGGCCTCAACGACACCGTGATCTCCCCACCCGGCTCCCCTTCCGCGGTGCACGGGCCCTCGCCATTGTGCCGTCGATCACCTAGGTACCCTCCGCCAATTCCCTCTCAACCCTACCCGCCATAACTACCACCCTCTCGATACACTTCAAGATCACTGACTACGTCATGTTCTATGTCAACCTCGCCACCCGCAACTACCCTTCGTCATCTGCAAATCTGGCGTCCAAGAACACGTCGAGGTGGAGTCCAATCCCCTAAAGAAACGCACAATGGCGCAACGAACACCCCAAAATGAATTTGGGGTGTTACTAGAAGCATATGCATCTCATAATCTTTTGCTTGCACATTTAGATCTTAAGGAAGGAATATTTAAATTGATTTTCAAAATAAAAATAAAAAAGAGTGGACGATGACATGACTTCCTCAAATTATAGGGAATGATTCAGATATACCTCATATGCATATTTGGAGTTCTAGTATAATTATTGGAATTATAAAACCCTACACACTATTTTTATGCCATGTGTGTCCACCATAGATTTATATGTCAGCCTTCTTTTCTAGCATTGGCCCTTTCTGTACAATTTTTGCAGCCTTTCTCGGCGTGGTTGTCTTTGTACGACTTATGTAGCCTCCTTTTGCATTGCTGTTGATCTACACCCCTTTCTTTCCCCCGAGCTTCTTGCGCCACCGGTTTCTATTGCTATGATCTTTGCAACATGCTTCTTCTATCCCTTTTTGGCTTGACTCAACATGTTTCTAAAAACTCCATGCTACTATGAACGTGGATTTTGGGATTTCGCTATTTATCTTAGTCTTACACTTTTTCAAATGAAATGCTTTGTGTACGCTTTGCATTTGAGAGAGGGGGTGTTAAGGACTACTTGCGGACGCTCAAGAATCAACTTTCTACTAAGGGTATCGTTAGCAGCGTGGTTGGGAACGAGTAGGCAGGGGTGCGTACGGCGGCCTTATAGTGAAGGTCGTCGTACACTCGACTCAATGATGTTTTTAAATAGGTTTTGTCGCCTCATGGGAGCATGACCAACATCCTATGGAAGGGTCGTCAAGAGTGGTGCCCGCTGCACGGAATACTTGTGTCGCCACGACTCCCAACTAGTCCGCACCTGGTCCCTCGGACTCCAGATCTCGGCCTTCCTAACTCTTAAGAGAGCTAGTAGGGGAGAGTGACCCCCTTCTTGAGTGAGTGATTTACATGCCTATGGAGGGCCTTGTATAGCCTAGGGGTCCTTGACAAATGACCAAGGCTACTAGGTAATTTTCCCTCCTTTGGTCACATATGCCACTAGTTGGGGTTGGAGGTGGGTTGTAGCCCATTAGGGGAGAACCCCTAAACTACCCATCTTTGACTTTTGGGGATCTTCATTTGACTAGTTGACCATGAAGCCTTGCTTGGAATTTTGTTGGCCAGGGTGGCTTGCTTGGACCCATGAAGAGTTACTCTGACTTGTGTTGACTGCCCACATGGCATGTTACATAGGGTAGGGGTGGTGCCTTCAGAAGGGTCAGAGCCATTACTGCAACACTGCAACATTATGTATTGGTCTAGGTGTCTATTAGCCTAGATTTCCTTCCTTGTACTCCAAGTCCATTGTATTGTATATTTACGCCTTGGGCTCTGCAATATAAGACAAGTTGCTCCTCTTAACAAAAACCATCGGATGTATGTAGACATATTTTAGAGTGTAGATTTACTCATTTTGCTCCGTATGTAGTCACTTATTGGAATTTGTAGAAAGACTTATATTTGGTAACGGAGGGAGTAGAATCGATCGGCTAGCTACCATTTAGCCTGCTGTGCGTACTGAGTGTTCTCCAACGACAAATTAATCTACTCCATGGGCGAGCTTTGTTTTAGACGTCCGCTATTCGGAGGAGAGTTATCGTCAGTCAGCGACTCAATAGAAGCATGCAAGATTGCCGGAGAGTGACTTGCACCGCTGGCTCAACCGATGGGGTCGTCTACAGAAAAACAAACTACATGCTACCCCTTGCGGCATGGTGACCAACAGACGAAGGAATCCCTGGCGACAGCGTCAAGAAGAAGATGGCTTGTGAGAGACCAACAAAATTAAAAAAAGGTTAAGCACCTAGCCTGAAATGGCTAATAATGAGAAGATAAATTGCATTACAGTTAATGACGAGGAGTCGAAGGCGCTGCCCTTTTCTCTCGGTTCTGTTTTGAAAAAAGAGGTAAGATACCATGATTTATTAAACTACAGTATTTTTTTCATCCAAACACCTCAAAGTATTTAAAACCATGGTTTTTTTTAGAAACCACGGTATTCCTCAAAAACTGTAAAATTACTTTGTATCCAAAGTTCCAAACGCACCCTAAAAAGACACAAGTGCCCTTGAAAAGATAATTTTGAAGGCAAAATTCATGGGCATATTTGTCTTTTGAGAGCCATTAGGATATTGCTTCTACCAGATATTTGGGCTTTAGGAGGTCGCTCAGACCTCGTCTTTTTCGGCGACAAGGTGACCTGCACTCCTAAACCACCATGGTAAGGCTGCATTTGGCATTGAGATGGATTATGATAATCCAGCTTTTGCTATTTTTTTCTATTTGGCTAACCATCTTTTTTCCTGCTTTCATGGCTACTTACCGCCCAGAATTTATAAGGAAAGTTCAGTACAACATAGTTTAGTGCCAATAAACTAAGTCTAAATCTTAATAATCAAGGAAAAATATGAACAATTTAGTAAAATTTCAATAAACTTTGGAAAATCAAAAAATAATGAGGAAAATAAATTTGGAAACCAGTAATCATAAGCAGAAACGGAAAACATAAAACTGGTATAAATAAAAGGAAATTAAAAGAAGATAAATATCTAGATACATTTGATCTAATTCTTCATATAATTTATAACATTTTCATCTTTCCTAAGTTTATAGTCAAAACAGTGAAATATTAAAAAAAAAACTCATCACTGCAGATAATCCCATGTTTTTGAAGATCCTATCAATCCTGTGATATTCCTATTCCTACGTTCTCGAATTTCTAAAGTTCAGATAGGCCCTTAGAAGTGCTAGATAGATAGAACATGATTATCTCTGTAACAAACAACTGCTAATCTCTGCACGCACAAACCATAGCCTTTAGTTGCTAACATTCTACAGAAGTGTGACCCTCCGCCATCATGTGTAGAACTAAGTTCTGATGGTGAACGAGTCTGAGCAGCTATCATGCATATTAGAGGTAGAAAATAGTAAGATACAGAACTTTGACAGTGCAGAAGATTACTACGGCAAAAGAGATCTCACGCCAGACTAAAAGAACCATGTAATGAACAAATTTACCAGATTGAACCATGTAATGAACAAATTTACCAGATTGGTGACAATAGCTACTGTGTAAACAGAAAAGGGTAAAACTAAGAACCTTGAACTGGCAGTTCTTTGATGTTCATTAGCTTTCCTCCCACGGCGTCCACATAAGGCATTGGCAACATTTGGTTCACTATGTGATGAACTTGTAAACCATGAAATGGAAAAATAAAAAGGTAATTCTGAAACGTGAACACTGAAAAAACAGAGCAAGGATGAAAGAGAATGTAGAAGGATGGAAGAAAATTGTTATATTTATTTGAGGCTTACCATCTCAATTTGCCCTCCATAGAGTTTGAAGTTCGGTGCATGATGTCTCTTAGGGACGGAACTTTAAATGACCTATTGTTTTCATCTTGCTCTTGCCTGAAAAGTGACATAAATTGGCAATAGTGCTTATCAGGAACAATATCAAGGTACTAGAAGGCTACAATTATATAGTTCTAAGACTACAGATTGATGTTTAGAAATATAGATTGTTCCTGGCAAACAAGACAATGATTTTAAGTTTGCACAGGTATTTCTATGCCCAAAGCTGAAGTCAAACAGAGCAGTATCATACTATCATATGTTGCTAATGCAATAATAAGATCCCTGCAAGGGACCAAACATAACCAGAACCAGAAACAGGTATATCAAAAAGGGAATACACAAGCATACCGTTGAGAGCACAAAGGACTATTCGGTTCAAGAGGAGAATCACAAGAATCATAGTCAGCAGAGTCACTCTCTCCAGCAGCAGATATATGGGATGTGATTATAGCATTGGATGAGAATGGAATTAGTTGTCCTGGAAAACGCATTAGATCAACGAGAAACTCCATGGACTTCAGCATAACAACAACAGACATATGTTTGGGTGAGTCATCGTGTTCATGAGATTCTTCATCTGAAATGCCCTGCACATATTAAATAACATAGTAATGTAGGGTTCAGGAATTTCACGAGTGGGAAGAATCCTATTTCAAAGTGCAGACGCACTAACGAGAAGGTAATAGAACTTACCACCAACAGCTTAGAATCTATACCAACAGAGTCAGCAAGGACTTTAAATAAAATTGCTCTGGGCCGACAAGATCCATGTCTTATCTGCCCCAACAATTGAATTCCCTTGTTTTCCATGAAATGAAAATTTTCTTCAGAAGAAGTTCTTGCAGGGCTGAGCTGTGGATTTGGTCGCTTATAGAAGTCACAAACCTGCAATTATCATTAAAAATTATGCTCGCACGGAAATACGTAAATAGTTTCACATCAGTACAGGCCGGAAGAAATGTAACTAAAGGCAGCCTTTTAAAATGTGTAATTAGAACCATATCTGTACAGGCTCGGAAAAACAAGAAAAAACAATCTATACTTCAGAAATGAGTTATTTTATACATCAAGCAGCAACTAGAATCCACGAAACACTTCAAGGAATAAATAGGTCAGTTAAAATGGTTGCAGAACAAGGAAGAGTTTTTGTGATTTATTTACACAGCAATTGATCATAGAGAAATTGCAGCAAACAGTTTTTCTAAAGAAGAAAAGAAGATGGCATCATTGTCCCCCATTGCATAAAGGATCTCAGAGAGAACTTACCAAACCTGCAAGCTTTTTTATCATTGCGGCTGGGTTAGAACTCAATCCTTTTACCAGAGCTACACATAGCTGCCTTATTGCAGATAGCTTTTTATCCTTCTCTAAGTCCACAAGAATCATCTCAGCCTTGAAGCCCTCTATTCCAAGGGAATATAGATCATCAGGAGAAGGAATGGCGTCAAAACACTCCTTCAGTTTCTTATCCTACAAAGTTCAGAATGATAATATAAAATAAATAAAGAAGTACAGAGAGAGTGCTAACAAATTGGTACCTCCAATAAGATCCACTTACCGGTATAATTGAGTAAAATCCATTGGGTATTGGACTCGATAGAGATCCAGTAGACCATAATTCCTGAGAAGCGCAAAATGAATGGTCACCTTTCATACAGTTAAGAGAAGAATCTGCCAAATCCGAATTGTGGTCCTGCTTAGCCAAGGAAATGGATTGGAACTTATGCTCTTCATGTGAGGACAGCCAATTTGCGTCAGTAGAGTGTATATCAGATTGCCCTTCACCATCTGGCAGATCATCCATCTCAAATATATGTTAAAATACAGTATCATTTTACGAATGTCATCATACAGATCAACCAGTCTGCAAAAGAAAAGGTACAACAAATAGATTGAATTAGACGAGTGTTGACTCTTAGTGTGCATAAGCTAAAAAGAGATAGAGTGTTGATTCTTGTATTTGGCCAGTAAAAAAGAAAGAGCAGATACCAATGACACAGCTTCTATTATTTAAACTTCATTGGTTATACACACCCTACTTATGCAGCAAGAGTTGCTGCATTTAGCTAGCAGTGTATATACAGTATGGGCAGTATTTACCACGATATAAGTGATCCTAGTTTTCGCTTAGTGTTAGCTGTAATCCTTGTGCCTTTTGTTTTATTGGCACATTAGCACAGGTCAGCTAGAACTTTCTTAGTCAGTAAGACAGTATATGCAAGTACACAGTGTAGTCAATTTGCCTATTACATGTACTAGCAGATGCCTTTTGCATATATGGGTCGATTGCTAGCAATCGACTTGTCTATGTACTATATTTAGACCTCACAACAACAATACAAGCTCAACCTCCCTTGTTCAGCTCACAGTTACCTGATTCGCAATTCGCTCGGTTCACGATTCAGGATTCGCTTCATCTACCAAATCAGATTTGATGGGGGACACACATCTACGATTCGCGAATCGTAGTTATTGAAGGGGTTCGCGAACCCGGCGATTACGATTCGTCGCCTCTAGCATACAATGTATTTTTCTCTTTATATGGAGGGCTTCATTAGTTCATTGACCATCCATGGCAATCCCATCGATGAACATAGGGTTGTCGAGAAGTTTTTGTGTGTCATCCCTTGGAGGTATGTGTAGATTGCGCCGTCAATCGAGACTATACTCGATACAACGAAGCTCTCAATTGAATAGGTGACAAGCCAGCTCAAGACGGCTTATGATCATTGTGAGTCGTAAACCAAGTTGGAGCAGCCGATCCTATCCAGCAGCAAGGTCTACTTCTCTGAGGAGTAGTGACTCACCCAGATGAAGCAAAGGCAGGACGGAGAGGGAGCTCCAGGCCTCCCAACCAAAGGCGGGAGGGATAGGAAAGCTCCAAGCCTCCTAATTCACATTTACCCATTGGGTACCCCTACCAGATCAACTTACACCACATACAACGGTGACCATTTCATCCTCTTTTGACAACTTTACGTGAAGCGAGGCAGGTCATTTTGATTTTGTCAAGGGTGCTGACTTGAGGTATCCATTCCAACATAAGCTTACTCTTCCCTTGACATTACCTTTGTGAGTCATTCGACCCCTTCACGACAAATTTGAGCCCATCGAGACTAGCTATTTGAGTATTGCTGGGCCTCGTGGCCTTGAGCATCGTAGTGACATCTTGCACACTATTTGGTGCCTCATAGTTAATCCGTGCAATATCTTGTGATAGTTTGTCTTGCATTTTTGGTCAAGTCTCAAAAGAAGTGGCAAAAGGAAGTAAAGTTCAAACAATAAAGATACAGACCTTAAATAAGCAAAAAGGGGAAGAGCAAAAGAGATATATGTGCCAGGTATACCTAATATAGAGATATATCTTGTGATATATAACCAAAAGAGATACTTAATATCTTGCGATAGTTTGTCTTGCATTTTTGGTCAAGTCTCAAAGGAAGTGACAAATGCAAGTAAAGTTAAAACAATAAAATACAAAGCTTATAAGCAAAAAGATTAAGAGCAAAAGAGATATTTGTGCCAGGTATATATAATATAGAGATACATCAAGCATGCAAGTTTGTAAATCTTTGCCGTATCATGAAATCAAGCTAGCGTATTTTTTTGTGTTTGTGTAACAAGAGCTTAGTCTTCGATAAGCCAATCATTCTTACATTTGTGATCAAATTGCATTACATTGAGTTCATTGTGGATATTTACCAATCTTTTCGATATCTTGGTCCACTTAATCCTTGATTTTGTTCCACTGACCTTACCAAGATCCACATATAGCCTTGTTGCGAGTGTGTAGGTGCGCAGACAAGGTTCTTTGCCAACTTATCTCTCATTTCCAACTATCGATCGGGAGGTCCTTTTTACTTTTCAACTTCATCGGAAAGAGGTGTTAGAAATATACCCTAGAGGCAATCATAGCAATGATCATATTTCATTGAATCCATGAATTATTAAATGTTCCTTGAATAATATCATTTGTGTTGATTGGCAAGTATGTGACTTGTTTGTGAAACTCTATACTTGAATGGTTATTCTAAAGTAGTCCCTAGTGGGACTTAATTTGAGAACACATGAATATTCGACTAGCACATGTATTGGTTGATGACCATGTTTCACACTTCATGGACATGGAGATGTCGGACCAACAATGTGAAATGTTATGTGGGGTTGGATAAACCCAACTTGAGACATAGCGTGAATGTTAATTACCTCTTATAATGTGTATGTTATGTCCTTAGATGTGAGACGGTCATATGTACTTGAGATGTGTAGTGACTTGCTTAGGAGTTGCCAAACACTACTTTATAACTGATTAGTTATAAAGTTTGCTTTCTTGTTTATCATGAAGCATACTTCGAGCCATGGCCGGTCGATATGGGATTTGCCCCTCTCTTAGGTGAGAGAGAGATCTCTAGGGTCATCGAGTGATCAGATCCAAAAATGCATGGTTGTGCTACTTGAGGTTAAGAATTAACCTAGCAATGGATTCCAAGTACACAACATTGTGCAGGTTCATTTGATATGATCTTTACGTATGTTTGGGAGTTGGCATATCCTGCTAGGGGCCGCTACCCTAGAGAGCCTCCACCTCAACTGTTGTTCGGAGTTGCAAGCACACCATACTTATGGGCTCCTTGGAGGCGTTGCTGTTGCGACGCTTGTATGATCGCTCAAGGGATCCACAAGGAGGAGACACGATTCAACAGCTCTCCTTCCACTAGGTGACTACGCGTCTACTGCTAATCCCGTTACCTACAACCGCGGCATATTCTTGGGCGTTCATGGTAGAATTTTTTATTTGCGATAACGTAGTGTATCATGTTTCCTGCAAGAGGTAACTTTGGTACAATTCATTTCCTTTTAGCTACTCACATCTTTCGAAGAACCTACCTACAAGTTGGTCCAAGTTAAAGGACATTGTCGATGTTCTGGGATGGATAGCTAATTTGTTCGAAGGGGCGTACGAGTGGCAAATAGGGATGGCTACACAGAACAAACAACGACCTACCTAGGTTTGGGCCCCCCATAGAGAGGTAAAACCCTACTCCTGATGCTAAGATGTATTGCACTGTGTGTCTACCTGTCGGGCCCGTGGGACTAGGGATATCCAGGGCCGCCTGCCTTCGGCCCAGAGCGCGGCGCACGCCAAGGGTTCAACCACTGGCCCACCAGCAAGTGGTACGAGCAAGACCCCTCACGAGGCCCCACGCGAGGCGGTCTCCTGAGGCAGCCTCCCGACGCCCCCTCGCGGGGGCAAGCAGGTCAAGTGCTGCTCAGCCTGTCGCGCGGCCGCGTGCCTTCATGTGGGTGACGCGCACAACGACGAGCGACGCCAGAAGTTGTGCCAGCAGGCGCGGATGAAGAGGATTTCCCCTTTGGTGCTAAGGGAGCAAGGCCGGCCCGCCGGTTCCCAAAGCAATCCCCAAAGGTTGCCTGATCGGTGCAAAAAGACCAAGACGACGGACGCACCAGGACGGAGGTCATCACCGAGCCCACCGGCGCGTCACGAGCGGTGGTTTTGCAGATGAAGACCCCCCTTTTGTCGGGATAGACTGCGCCCTTGTCCTCCTTCAAATTGCTGTTGTGTGGCAACCCTTCCAGGCAATGTTTTCGGGGAAGAGGACCAAGGCATGTATAAAGGAAGGCAGAGTGCCGTTGTAGAGGAGATCGACCATTCTAGCTCTCCAACCCTTGTACTCTTGTCTCCTCCACCATAGCAATCCACAAACCAAGCATGAGTAGGGTTTTACACCGCAAGGTGGCCCAAACCTGGGTAACTGTTGTGTCTCCGGCCTGCCCCCGCTAGCTCCCTCTCGCCGTAGCATCACCGTGGTTAGAAGCAGGAAGGAGTAGGGCGGTAGGAACGAGTGCACCCCAGACTCCGAACCTCTTGGGTCCCAGGAGCCCCGATTTCGACATTTGGTGCACTAGGTAGGGGTGCGCCGCCGTTCTCCCGCTTCGTTTCGCCTCCTCCTTCACCAAGCTTCATGGCTGAAGCTCGCCGCGAGCGCGCTGAGCGCCGGGCAAGGCGCATCGCCAAGACGGCGCTTGTGGGCCACGACAGCCGCCGACACCCTGCTGGAGCCGCAGCAGCTGCCGCCATCGACCCCGCTGCCCACGAGCAGCAAGACTCCTCCATGCACCCCTCCGTGCAACCTGATGGCCGCATCGATACGGCCTCTTCCTCCCACGGCCGACAAACACGCAGGCCATGCTGCTCATGGCGCGCGAGCTGCTACGTTACCGCCCGGGCGACGCCGGCTACGATGCCTGGCTTGGCCGCATCACCGAGCTCGTCAACGCCGCCGGGGCCCTCTCACTCGCTCCGCCCTCCGCCATCTCGCGCTGGGGACGTGGCCCACAGTGCGCCTCCGCCACCTACCCTGCGCAGCGACCTCACCGAACCCCGACGCGACGCGCGTCCACGCAAGCCACCTGCGGAGCGCCCCCGCCGGCCCGAAATGAGGACAGTTGCCAAATCGTCCACCGTGCGCCGCCTAATGCGCATGTGTTCCTCGAGCAACAGCGTCAGCGCCAAGACCGGATCGTCCAAGAAGCCGCAGCGGCCGGGCGCCAGAACCGCGCAGCCCTCGTGCGCGGTGTTCCATCAAACAGCATGGGCTACCGGGCTTTCACCCACGAGCTGCGCCGGGTGGTCTGCCCGTTAAGTTCAAGCCAGAGCTGCCCCCACGTTACGACGGCGTCCCAGACCCCACGGAGTTTCTCCAGCTCTACGCGTTGGGTATCGAGGCTGCGAACGGCGACGACAAGGTCATGGCAAACTAATTCCCCATGGCCCTCAAGGAC